AGTGGTTTCCATAGCAACATATGGTTTTAGTCAGGAACACATTTCCACAGTGAACAAGTACTAACAAATATGTTAATAAAACATTAATGCAAATGCTTATCCTGCCATCAGCTTTTTCAGCCATGCCATTCTTGCTACAGAAAGCACTTACTATTCAAAGCTTTAATCTGGACCTAGGAAAATGAGTTCTCTTAAAACTTGACAAATAGTATATTATAAGCCCAAAAGGTTTTAAATCAAATAAGCCTTCCAACACAAAAGCAGTCACATAAAACTTTCAGTTTCTCAAAAAATAAAATTTTTAAAAATCACTCTTGTTATCTAAAGAAAAGAATATTAAAACAAATTATCTTAAGACAAATAAACACTCTGACAAAAGGCTGTATTTTCTTATATCATTTTCTCTTTAAAAGAAACACAAATCAGTTCACTACCTTTTTATAACTTCTCAGACTACTGTAGTCTAAAAACTTTAGAATACATAAAACACATCTTTATGAGTGATCATGAAGTCAAAGGTGCCTTTTAAATTTCAAGTATTAAACAGCTACAGTACAGCCTACAATGGCACAAATACACCTAATATATAAACACTGCTTCATTTACATTGTCAAAAGTCAGAAGGAACTGAATGGTTTGCAAGGTACTTTGACAGACGTGTGGTCATTAAAATCCAATAAGTAATTCAAGTATGGTATATAATGGCAGGCAATTAAAGGCTCAAATATCACTCTAAAATCAAAGACATGAAAATAAAGACTGAAAACTTTGTGGTTCTCCATCTTTCATTCACGTGGCTAGATATCGGGACCTTACTGTGAAAAATACAGTTATTAAATGTGATTTCCCCAGAAGACAATGAAGCTTCAGAAAGTATAAAAGGTATCAAGATCCATAGTTTGCTTCATCAAATGCTTTTCTAGCTCGTTTCAATTCTTCATTCATAGTAAGCAAGTCTTTAACCCTAGCAAACTTTCTTGGATCCTTTCGAATCAAAAAGACGATATCTTCAACTTGTACACGACCTTGTCTTCCAATAGACATTGCCTTGTGAGTCTATTACAGAGAAATGTATTAAATTCAATTAATTTTTTAAAAGTCTAATATTTTATCCTTTTAATTTGCATTTATTTAATGCTGATGAGTTTGTAGATTTTCTTTTCTGACCTAGTATAGCTATTCATTTGTGAACTGTCTTTCTATTAATGTCTTTTGTCCACTTTCTACTGTTATTAGCAAAGTTTCAGTGCTTTATAGATATTTTTAAATATTAAGGACATTAAAACTATCAAATTCATTGGTGTTTCTTTACTGTGTTTTGATATATGCAATTTCTGTCTCTGTTTGTATAAAATAATATCATAAGTTTTGTAACCAACCACTTCATTTAAACTTTGTGTCCATCTCAGCAGCTGATAAATATTGGAGAGTTTCCTTAAATCAAATATCATCCCTTATCATTATATACTCATACTGTGCAAAAACAAAGGTTCATCATAGCATTATTTCTAATAACTAAAAAGGGAAACTAAATACTTAATAAGACATTGGACAAACAAATTTGAGTACATCTAGTCAGCTAATATTATGAACCCATCAAAAGCATCAGAGTATTCAATGATACAGGGAAAATGCTGTGGACTTACCTAAGTGAAAAAAGCAGGTTCCATGACTCTATATACTATATGATTTCAATTTTATAAAGTTTGAAAATATATGCAAAAAGACAAAAAGATATTCACCAAAATCTTAGCATTAATGGAAGGATTACAGATTTTTATTTTTTTCCTACACTTTTTAATACTTTCTAAATTTAATCAATATTACTTTCATAAGCAGAAAAAGATTTTTAAAAATGCACACTCTCTGACTCAGTAACTTCATTTCTATTTTTCTGTACGAAGGAAATAATCTAAAATCCAGGATAAAAATTCCTAAGAACTTAACACAACCAAACTCAGAACCCCCATCCCTGTGAACGTATCCAAAGAAGGTGGAAATTTCATAAATATGGTCATTCAAACTTGTCTATCCAGTTAAAAAAAAACCAGAGAAATGGTTACATATATTAGAAAGTAATTTAAATAAAGTTTATGTGGCTATTAAAATAATTGTAATTAGAACACAGGAAATATGTAATATAAAACTGAGTAAAAAGAATGTTTACTATGATGAACACTACTGAAAACACTACATATCTTTATAAAAATACTGGAAGGGGGAAATTTATGTTGGATGATGGGATTATAAGTAATATTTTAAATTTTATTCAAGGATCTTATAATTATGTCCTTCTAAATAAAATTCAGAGGAAGGGACAGAGTATATTGTGTGTGTGTATATGTGTGTGTTTATGTATATCTCTCTCTCTCCAACCTTAATGATAAATAGTAACCAGTAATATTGGCAAAACAGGCACTCAAATGGATAGCTTATTTGAAAAGAATGCCATAGTTGTAGTCTTATCCAAAAGTTAGAATTTCAGATCTATTCCTCAATTAACTAAGACCAATTACAAAAAAACTTACCATTTCAGTGATGAACTCTATGACAAGGTCTTCAAGAATATCCACTGACTCAGTGTAAGGATTCTGGTCATCCCCAAACCCATACATCATACATCGTACTGTAAAAGAACAACCATTTTTGTTTACTTCAACAAATCTGACAATTTGACCAATACTTTTTTCAAATTACAATTAAGCCAAGTTAGAAAATATTAGTACCAAAGTGTATTTACATTGTACTTACTATCGCCAAGTATGGATTTTGGCGTAAAAGGTTTTAGCCACTGCTCATAACCAACTGTTTCTACCTAGCCTTCCCTAGGTAGGAAATCCCCTTCCCTCCCAGCTACTGAACCCTGACATCAATATTCCCTCACTAATCTCTATTATCTACTCACCAACAACCCCAGAATACCTTTAAGTAGGAAACTTCATGGCAGGGACAGGATGAGTAGCAATGAATGGTTTAGCCTCTACTGGGTGAGTTTTCTCTTTCTCTCTCTTTCTCTTTCTCTCTCTCTCTCTCTCTCTCTCTCTCTCTCTCGGGGTGGGGGTGGGGCAGTGGGGCACTGGAAAAAAGGTGAAAATCTTTCTGATACTACCAAACATGAGACAAAGTACTCCAATTACCTTCTAGGAAGCACAGGGTAATCAAAAGAAGAAAGCAAAAGGCTTACTATACAGAATCTTGACATTTCATTCCCTGGATCAAAGCAACTGCCAGCAAAGCCCTTCAGGCTTCATCTGAAGGAGCCACAGAAAATGCAAAAGAGAGGGAAAGTCTAATAGAGAGTAATAAAAATAACTGCTAATAGCTAAAACTTGTATAGCCCTTACTACATGCCAGGCACTGTCTTAAGCTCATTTAATCCTCACTACAATCCTTTAAAGTAGAAACTATCCTTATCCCCACTGTACACAGAAAATTGAAGCAGAGTTAAGTGATTTACCCAAAGTCACACAGTGAGATGGAACCTGAATTTGAACCCAGATGATCTGGTCCCAGAGTCTATATTCCTACCCACAACAGTATTACGCTTCTTGGTAATTTAGGGCTGATAGGATCCATATAGATTCTTAACCTATGGCCTATAAACTCCCAGCTAGTCCATGGACAAGTTTTGAGGAGTTCTGGAACCCTTCTGAAATTCCATGCAAAAATTTTATACATTACTTGTGTGTGCGCATTTTTCTGAGAAGAAGAATCAACTCTTATCAGATTCTCAAAGAGGTATATAAATACTGAGAAACTCTGTCATGTTAGAAATGTTTTGTATCTTGATCTGACTGTTGGTTACATGTGTATGTATGCATGAAAATTCATCAAGCCATTCACTGAAAACTAGTACAATTTATTGTATGTAAGTTCTACATTTAAAAAAAAAAAGGAAGGAACTCCTAGAACACTTCTAAAGGCAAGAATGAGTACATTGGGAATAACTTCCTATTTAGGAGAAGCAAAAACGGGTAGATCTAGGAAGAAAGTAGACCAGCCTATGGAAGAAAACAAAGTGGTGACTTGGAAGCCAGCACGGGACAGAGAAGTATCCCTAGGGTTCATTCTGGCAAGTGCTCTCAGGTCCAGATATAGGAGGGAGAGAACAAAAACAGGAGCCAGTATTTCCTCCCCTCTCTCTTTCTTGGATTCTAAAATTATTTTTCTGTCTTTTTTTTTTAAGATAACTTCAGATTTAGAAAAGAGCTCCAAAAATAGTATGGCGTTCCCAAATCCCTATATCGTTTCCCCTTATGTTAACATCTTACATAACTAAAGACATTTCTCAAAACTAAGAAATTAATACTGGTACAAATACAGAACATACTCAGATTGTACCAGTTTTCCCACTAATGTCCCTTTTCTGGTCCAGGATCCCCCACTATTTAGTTGTCATGCCTCCTTAGTTTCCTCTGTTCTGTGACAGTTCTTCAGATATTCCTTGTCTTTCATAACCTTGACACTTCTGAAGAATACAGGTCAGTTATCTTGTAGAATGGTCTTCAATTTGTGTTTGATGTTTTCTTATGATTAGAAAGGGTACCACAGAGATGATGTACTACTTAATGCACGGTATCAGGGGTACATAATGTCAACATATATTACTGGTGATGTTAACTTTAATCACTTGGCTAAAGTAATGTCTGCCAAGATTCTCCACTGTAAACTTAGTATTTTTCCTTACATGTTTGAGGAAGATACTCTGTCATTTACATTTTGATGGGGAGAATTCTCAGTAGGGAAATATACTTGGTGGAAAAGGTAAAATTTAGGGAAGTATGTAAACTGTATTTGGTTAAAGGGTCTGTAGAGACACAAACAAATAGAAGTGAATGCTTTGAAACTCTGTGTTCTATTAGCAAAAACTAAAAAGAAAAAAGAATTAGGAGAACAGATCTTGGTCAGTATGATATATGAAGATTCAGGTAAGACAAGGAGAAGGCGAGTGTGAGGTGTGGCATGAATTCTGTTTGGAGGCATCTTCGAGCTCACCAAGTGGCAATCATGAGCAAAGCTCACCCTCCCGAGATGAAGAAATGTATGGACAAGAAGTTATCACTGAAATTAAATGGTGGCAGACATGACCAAGGAATATTGCGGGGACTTAACCCCTTTATGACTCTTGTGATAGATAAATGTGTGGAGATGGCAACTAGTGGGCAACGGAATAACACTGGAAAGGTGGTAATACGAGGACATAGTATCACCGTGTTAGAAGCCTTGGAACGAGTATGAACAATGGCTGTGTCTACCAGAGAAATCAGCTGCTTCCACATGTTCCCTCCTCACATCTTACTGTGATAAAAATTGGGTCGTGTACATTTTCTTATTGAACTTTTTTTTTGTTAAATAAACTATTGTAACAGTCACACACACAAAAAAAAGACAAGGAGAAGGCTATGAAGATTCTGAATTCTTGTCATCACAAAATTAAAGCCATCCAAGCAGAACAAAGGCTCCTGGTAAGAACTGACTATGTGAGCATCACTCTGCGATGCTCTAGCGGAAGAATCCCCTTCTTATGCTGACATAAGAAATAAAACCACACACGAATGGAGCAAAAAGCATCAGAAATGGAATAAGGGGTGAACAACTTTAGGTGAGAAATTGAGGTATGGCAAGGGATCTGAATGGTTAAAAAAAAAAAAAAGACATCCTGACTCTGCAGTTACAAGAGCATTTGGGAATGCTTCCATCTGAACCAGCATAAACAAACCAGGTATTCATGTGTCATCTCACCAATACTATATGTAAAGGACCAAGACTGAGAGGTGGAGAGCACATTCTCATGGTGCCTTTCAGGGGCCCACCTGGATCATCAGTAGTAGCGGCAGCTCTCCTTCTTGTTGCTGCCAAAAAAGAGTCAAACCTGTCTACTGAGGGAGAAGAACAGAGAACCAAAACCTTATAATCTCTGTGCCATTAGACTGCCTCACGTTGTTGCCCCTTCTGCCTCATGCACTGCTTTAGTCCAAAGCCCCAACTTAATTTTTATCCTCAGCATCTGTTCCAGGATCCAATATAGCCTCTGGCTTACAGTCAAGTGAGTCCCTGCTGCAAAGGTATACACACACACACACACACACACACACATATATAAATTGGGGTTAGGATCATTATTATCTATGCATCACAGGTTAAACAATTTATAGGCAAGTCTGAGAATATTGAACAATAAATCTCCTTTGAATGGACATATCCAAAAGTTTTTATCTATAGTAAAATCACTGTCAAATACTACTTACATTCTTTAGAAAAAAGTCTCTTTCTTTTACCCTGTCCACCTTCTGCACCTCCTCCAATTTCTTCATTTTCTTCTTCAAACTACAAGTTAAGATGTATGTATAGAAACGTTAAGCACTGCATTTAACTTTCTAGTATTTAACATTTTTTTCCATCTTCAACACTGATACCATGCCAGAAAGCCTAAAGCAAGCAGCGAAAAACCATGAAACCTTAGCATTTTAGGGGCCTTAAAAAACTATCCAACTTTGGACTCATGCAGGAATGGCTTTTACAATGTCCCTAACAAACGTACTGCCTCTCCTGGAAGGGTTCCAATGACCATATGTTCTCTTTTTTAACCAACTAAGCTGGCCTATTTCTAGATAATTTTACTATTAAAAGAGTTGATATTGAATCAAGGTAAGCAAAACTAGTATTTACTAAGCACTGCTTCCCTCAAGTAAGACTTAACCCCATTTTATGACATGAAAACAGGCTCAAGATTAAACAACTTCCTCACAAACAAAGATTTTGAAATCCATGTTCCCCGACTTTCGGTCCATTATTTTTTGACTATTTCACAATAAGTATATAATTTTGGTAGCAGTTGAATTGTTGGTTCTTAATGAGCGCTAACGGCTTTGTCCTCCAATGATTCTCTAGGTGTTCCAAAGGGTGGCAAATGCGGACCAAAATCAAAGAGCAGGAGGTCACCCTCCTTCTCTTCCTTCACGCCCTGCACCGCGTAGTAAAAGATGAATCCCAAGGGAAAGGCTAGCTCGGGGTGAAGTCTTTGAGTCTCTCGGCTGAATTCACTAGGAAAAAGATCCGATTCTGAACTCGGCCACCGCTACTGTGCCGGAGGGAGTACGGGAAAAAGCGGGCTGGAACAGAGGTGGTCACTCACGGTGGGGTCTTTTCCTCATCTGCCATCCCATCAGCCAGCCACCTCCTACGGCCACCCCCTTCCCCGCGAGCTGGTTTTACTACTTCCTCTGCGTCACTTCCGGCGGCGCGCGCCGGGGCGGGGCGGGGCGGGGGCCGGAGGCCGCGCCAGCGGGAGAGGAGCGTGCGCATCCTGCCTAGCGGCAGAACCCCGGCAGTACTTAGAAAGGGAAGGACGACGTCTGGGCGAGAAGGAATTAAAAATTAGCCAAGAAAAGGTGGATGACTCGTTGTCACCCTGAATTTGCTTCTGCGTATCTGATCACGCTTCCTGATTCGGGACTGCGAAGCTGTGCATCACTGAGGGACTAGCCAGGGATGTATTTAAACAATTTCAACAGCCTAGAGTTCTACTACTATTTATTGCCAAGCTCTGTATTGGTTATTGGGGATATTGTACTTCACTAGCAGTTCCCCTTAGATTGGGGATTTAATTTTTGTGGGTGTTATTGGTTTGTTTTGGTTTGTTGCTTTTAATCAGAACAATGATTAGGAAAAACCACCGACATTAGGCCAAAGCTTGGGATGTAAGGTGTTCTGCAATGCAAGAAATGATGCCACATAGAGAAAGGTTGCCCCACGATACACGATTTCTGAGTGTCCTACTAAACATTCCTGTGAGTGAAAAATCTACTCATAATTATCTGGGCCTAGAACATAACTTTGTTAACTTACAAACATAAAGCATTTTTGTATGCTTTAAGGTACGTTGAATTTTCTAGGAATGCAACTGTAAGATAGAAAGTACATATATTGGTCCCCACCCCTATCCCCACCCCTTCCTGGCACAGGTTCCTAAAACCCTTATAATTTGCTAACTGATAAGAGCGCTAGGAGTATCTCCTGTTCTAATATCTGGTCTTTGACATCCACCCCATACCCCCTCAACACACACACACACACACACACAGGATTACTAAAACTCTTGCAAATTCCTAAGTGATAAGAGCACTAGCAGCATCTTTTGTTCTCATGAGGCAACTCTGGCTGGGCTCCTGGATGGCTCCTGGATGGGGGCTGGTCACCAGAAAGACAAGCTATGATTAAAAGCTTGGAACTTTCAGCCCTCTTCCTGCCCCCCCACCCCACCTCCCCAACCAATTCTCCAGAGAGGAGAGGGGGACTGGAAATGGAGCCAATCCCTGATCATAACTGAAATGTTGCAGAAAAGATGTGTTACAGCTTGGTGTTACAGCTCAGTTATGACAGCAAACTGGATCCGGGCGAGAGACCCAACAGCACTGGGACGGTTGGAGAACTCAGGTTTATTACGCCAGTGGGCCCAGAGGAGTTAACACTCCAAGCTCTGGACCCCAGCTATAGGTTTACACAGGCTTTTATAGGCTGCCAGTTTACACTTTGCAACATCATAAGGTATAACAAAAGTTGACTATTTAGGAACAAATTTTGTAGAAATGGGCCAATCAGGAGTGAGCTCCATGCAAATGAAGTACTACAAAAGGACCAATCAGATGTTAGGACCAATCAGGAGTGAAGGAAATAACCAATCAGGAGTGAGCTCAGGGAACCCGTAGAATTTTAGGGGTAAGTAAGCAGTTTCAGAGGCAAAAAGTGAGATAGAGCCTCTGGGCCAGGGAACCAGATGGTGCTGGCAGGAGAGTAGTAAGTGGCCCTGCCTGGGGGTCCTGCTGGTCTTTTTATGGGGCTTCCCACCTCAACACAAGACATAACAATTCCAGTAGTAGGGGGTTCAGAGAGCTTCCAGGTTGGGGAAGACATCCACTTACCTGGAGGGTTAATGCACCCCAACTTCGTGGAAGCAGAAGCTCCATGCTCAGAACCCTCCCAGACCTTGCCCTACGTGTCTTTTCATCTGGCTCCTTTATCATACTCTTTAATAAACTGGTAAACATGTTTCCCTGAGTTTTGTGAGTTCTTCTAGGAAATAACCAAATCCAAAGGGGAGGAGGTCATGGGAACCTCTGATTTGCAGCGAAGTCGGACAGAAGTCGTGGATAACCTGGGGAACTTACTACTTGTAATTGGCTTCTAAAGTCGGGGGCAGTCTTGTGGGACTAAGCCCTTAATTAGTGGGATCTGACACTGTCTCCAGGTAAATAACGTCAGCATTGAGTTAAATTGTAGGACACCCAGCTGGTGGTGTAGAATTGTTTGGTGTGGGGAAAAAACCCACATATTTGGTCACCAGAAGTGTCATAAGTGAAGGGTTCTGTGTGAAAGTAAGGGAGAAAGATACACAGGAAGGAAAGAACTGGTAGTGTTTTCCCAAAACAGCAACTACCCTGTAATTTGAGAGTTATAGTTCTTTGTTTTGTTTGCAATGTACCAACGGCTGTGAGCCATTTCAGGAAATAATGTCATGAAAAGCCATATCACTTGTAACAATTTCAGTAGCCAATACTCACTAGAGTCAGTCTGCATTTGTAGCGCCTGCATTCATGGTGACTCTACATATAGATGCAAGCCTCTGAAATCACTACACCCTCTAGTGCAGTCATGCCTGAGCATTTACATATTGAAACACATTTAATTTATTGTATTTATTTTACCTTTATATTACAGTCGGGACATTACATTTTTTAATTATAGGGGTAGTTAGGTGTATTAGTTATTTATTACTGTGTAACAAGTTATCCCCAAACTTAGTGGTTTAAAGTAGCTAACATTTATCACACAGTTTCTGTGGGTCAGGAATCTGGGTACTGTTTAGCTGGGTACCTCTGGCTCAAGCTCCCTTATGTTGCAGTCTGGGTGTTGGTTGGGCCTAAATCTCATCTGTGGTATTGATGGGAAAGGATCCACTTCCCATATCACTCACATTGTTGTCAGCAGGATTCAGTTAGTTCCTGTTGTTAGTTTAAGGACCTCAGTCCTTCACTGGCTCTTGCCAGAGGCCTCCCTCCATTCCTTGCCACAATCCTCTTCATAGGGCAGCTTACAACATGGCAGCTGACTTCTGTCAGAACAGATGAGGGAGAGAAGTAGAAAGAACATCCCAGACCACAGTTTTGTTTTTTGTTTTTTTTGTAACCTAACCTTAGGAATGACATCTATCACTTCTGCCCTATGCTATTCACCAGAAG